AAATGTGCAAAACATTTTAACCAATCAACACAGCCCAATCACGAGTGGTGTCTGCTGAGATAGCCTCGCCATTGGCTAACTTACCAGGACTTCAGATGTAGAAACTGTCCAGTGATCATTCTGTCCTTTGAGGTGTGTGTGTGTGTATGCTTTTAGCCAATCAGAGCTATCTTACAGAACATGACATTCACTGCAGGAAACACGCCAATGACAAATCAATAAGAACTGGGGGTACAGAACTGGCCAGTGATTATCCTCCTTCATCACTGTCGTCACTTGCCTGGAGAATAACCAGCTCTTCCTCGTTCCTCATTAGTTCACGTCAGCAGCCGCCAGTGAACGTATTAGAGAAGAATGGCCGCCGTAAAAGAACCTTGAAATTCGCATCGGAAAAGACTGGAATATTTCTGGACTCGGCCAAATATTTTCGGAAGTGAATGTGTTAATATTTGTAACGCTTCGTCCCTGTCGACGGAATGTTACACTTTATGTATTGGTTTGTTTTCTCTCTCTCTCTCGTGTGTGTGTGTGTGTGTGTGTGTGTGTGCGCGCGTCACTTCTAATCCTCCACATTCTGTACATGCGTCTCATTCAACATCTCTGCTCCACATTTTTCCCAACCCTTAACTTCCTGGCCAGCTTTATCACGTCCCTCAGCTTTTCTATGTGATGGTTAACTCTGGTTCATCCATACAGTGTGATGGCCTCCCTCATAAATGGCCCCATAGAGACCATGAAGGGGGGAGGACGAGGCATCTGCTGGGCCATTTTATGCTCTTTACCGCAAATGCAACAATTTGTGTTTATCCTTAAGTCGTCTGTTGCTTAAAGGGGAAAATGGCTCGTAAAGTCAACCCACATAAGTGTAATAATACTTTATCACTGGCCAGAAATAGAGACTGAACCACAAAGAGAGACATTCACGACCTTTTACTCAAGTTATACAAGAGTCAAAGTCCCAGAACAGAGGAATAAATGCACTAGACACGAGATGGAAACATATAGGAATTTCAACCATTTAGATTCGTCATGTAAGTGTCAAAATCTCGTAACACACAAATAAGTGACCAAAGTTAAGATCAGAATGGATGCAGAGTATTATCATCCTTTAAGCCACAACGCATGAGTTTCAAAGTTACACATCATAACCCTACCTCACCAAATCTCCTAAATTCAGAGAAGTTTCACTCTTTTAGCGTTACGGCGTGAGAGTCAAAGTGGTGAGGCAGAGAGTAAAACTTTCTTCAGAGTAATAGGGGCATAAAGCACCTCATAACGCCAGGTATAAGGTACGGATGATGTCTCGTTTGTCACTCGTACATCACACGAACAATTGTCAAAAATTCTCATGTGGGATTTTTTCTCTTTACTCTTTAACTAAGACTATAATAACGTGTTCTATAGAGTCTTAGTGGAATTAAAACCCCTTAACCCTCCCCCCCCCCCTTTAAAAGACCCAATTTGATGCACTCGTAGTATGACTAGTTAATAATATAAAATTAATCTCACGTAACAGCTTTTGAGAATAGGTAGGCGGGCGACGTACTTCCCCTCAACTTGATCTTAAGATGTTTTTATTGTCCTTTCGACTTAAAAAAAATAAGTCATATTATGGGACAGATACTATTCTCAAACTTAATCTAAGACGCTTCCATTCTACTCTGGGCATGAAAAGGTTACACAGGGGGGTAGTATAGTTTAAGTGTGGGTGTACTTTATAGCTTAATATAGTATAAGTAACGACCAGCGCTACTGGCTAACTCATCTTGAGGAGGGGAGTTCTCTCTCTCTCTCTCTCTCTCTCTCTCTCTCTCTCTCTCTCTCTCTCTCTCTCTCTCTCTCTCTCTCTCTCTCTCGGATAAACTTTCTCAGCTGTGGAGTGTCGTGCCTTGAGTACTGCAATGACTTAGTGGTTCAATAATCTCAGCTAAGTTTAATACCGCATCTGTGACTCAGGCACCAGATGTGTGTGTGTGTGGGGGGCTCAGTCTTGCATCAATCCATCAGTATTATCTTCCCACTGAGAGAGAGAGAGAGAGAGAGAGAGAGAGAGAGAGACTCCCAGCGGCTGGCATCATAGCAGTGTCCTGTAGTTTATACGTGTAGTGGCTGCCAGACAAGTTATGGCGTATAGCGTGCCTAGTTTAGTAACGAGTTCAGGTACACAGTGCTGAGGTGAGGTATGATAATGTTATAGTCTTGTGTTATGGCATAAAAATTATAACGTGACACTGACTTATGACTTGACTCCCTCCCCTCCTCTTCCCAAACCCTCCCCTCCTCTTCATCCTCTTTCTCTTTTCCTTCACCCCTCTTTTCTTTCTTTTCCTTCTCACCCCTCACCACCCCTTCTCCCCTTTTCAACACCCCTCCCCTCTCCCCCTCCTCTTCCCCCTACCCAACAGTCCGTCGGGCGGTAGGAAGGGGTGTTGTGGTCCTCTTCGTACGAGTTATGAGTCTAATACCCGACAGGGAGAGACACATATTTACCCGACGACGAGCATGACAACCACATCCCGGGTGACGTGTATGCTTGTAATGGCTTCAGGAGGAGCCATTTGTGTCTGCTTGTTATTCAGGGAGAGCCATTTACCTCTGGGCGATCCTGGCAAACACGTGTGCTCATTTGAAACGAGCATAAATGAGTATTTTTATAAAGCAAGAGTTATTTTGTTCGAAGTATTTCTCCCACGTAAAATCCATTTAAGTTGTAATGTTTCTCTCGACTCACTGTACGTATGTCTGCCTCTTGCATCGTATGGAGCCATTTGTTCCCGTTAGTTGCACCAGGAAGTGTTATTCAGGAGCCATTTATGTCCATTTGTTGCCTCAGAAGGAACCATTAATGTCCCTTAGTTCTCCTGAATGGACTGTCTGTCAAGGGGGGGGGGGAACCATGCCTGACCGCTTAATCTACTTTATTTCTTCTATAAGAGCCATTTATCCCCTTTATTGCTACTGGATGAGCCATATGTTTACCTATCGATTCTACCTCGCCACGAGCCATTTATGTCTCTTATAGCTCCAGGAAGAGCCATTTATCACCTGACGAAGCTGACACAGGCAGGGAATCACGCTTCTGTGGCTGAACTATACAGATGCCATTTATTCTGTCTTGGGTTACCTGAGCGAGGCATTTATCTCCTCGTTAACACTTTACTCGTTTTTTGTTGTCACGTGACTAACGAGGGTGTGAAATACGGGTTTAATACAAGTAGCTCTGTGGGTTTTTTTTATGTTTAGCAAGGATTAGAACGCAATAATGAATATATATCTATCTATTTATCTACTTTATCTATATCTATCTATCTATCTATCTATCTATCTATTGTAAGGTTAGATTTATACACTGTGAGGAGATTGGTTCCGTATTGTGTGCTAGTTTTGGCAAATTTTAACCTAGATTATACAGCTGGGAAACTGTTATTCTCTGACCTCCTGCCACCAAGGGTCAACCAACCAACACGCAAGACAACAATATACCACCAGAATCATACCACCCCAACACTGGCCAATCTGAGACCCCTATCATAAAAAAAGCGCCAGCACCAGCAATCAGCAGCGCCTGGCGTTTCCTCATCACCTTGCAATGACACATTTATGGAAATTAGACAAGACAATGTTCGTGTGTCTTGTGCCTGAAGCAACTTTTTATTTTTACTGTATTTTATTTTACTTTTTGCATTTATTTGATTTTATTATTTATTTTATTTTATTTTATTTGTTTTACTGTGCAAAAATTCATACATGTAGATTAGGCAGTTAATCTCAGCGTCTGTATGTGTGTGGCAGAGTTTAATATGTACTTAAATGAAACTTGTCATGTTCTTTCAACTTGTTATCTCAGGAATTTGTACAACTGGATCATAACAGACCATGATACTTGTATACACGTAGAGACATGAAATAGTGGAGGTGTATTCAGAAGACTTTGATCCAGCAACAACTTGATACTGACTGATGATGATGGCGATGATGATGATAATGATGAGTGCACGATGATGATAATGATGATTGCACGTATTTCTGTTATTCAATCAATTACGGATCACACTATTTGGCAGCTGCCTCAACATCTGTCATCAAGCATCACAAGCAACACCAGAACAACCTTTGAAAAATATCGCTCGGTGACATACAGTAAATATATATCGAAAGTTAAACGTAAAAACAGACGACTCACGGCAGGCGGGGAGGCGACTGTCAGGCCAGGATTACTATCGTTGTTAGAGATCACTCGGCCAAGAATATTGCAGTGGAGTGAACATATGCTACACGTAACTGCTAGCTGTCACAATCTGCATATAACTGCTGATTCACACACACACACGAGAGAGCTTCTTGGGGGTATTAATATAGTGGGTGTTGGAGTGTCTTTTTTTTTTTTTGCGGAAACATGATGAAACGGATGTTCTTGCCATTGTGGTGAAAGTGGAAGAGATTATTATTATTATTATTATTATTATTATTATTATTATTATTATTATTATTATTATTATTATTATTATTATTATTATTATTATATAGTATTCGTAGTAGTATTGTTGTTGTGGTGGTTGTTGTCGTTATTATTGTTACTTGTATTATTATTATTATTATTGTTATAATTAATAGTAGTAGTAGTAATAGTAGCATTATGACCTACTGTTACTATTTTTGTCACTATGAAAATCTTTGAATAATCAGTTCAATAATTGTGGAAATTTATAATAAAAGGTCTAATGCTATTTGTTGTACTAAAGTCTATAAAACCCGCTTCCAAGTTCCTGTTTGTGAATTATTGACGAAAAAATAAATGATGAATTACCAATGGGAGTAACTCACAGTTTAGCGTCATGCTGATGTCATATTAATCAGCGTAATGCCAGTACTGTGACTCTGCCTTTGCCATTAATCACTTGCTCGTTCGTCTTCCAATGACTGATGATGCTGATTAAATTATTAACATGTACTTTTGTTTAACGAGATGAATACAAATATCGTGACTGATTTTTTTGTGTGTGTTTCAGGATACGCCCACACCTCTGTCTATCAAGGTAAGAGTTAATTAGTGTGTTGGGTTATTGAATTTTATCTGGTTCTTTATTTTTCTACATACTTATTAATTTCTCTGTGGATTTAGTATTTTGTTTACTTGTTTCGGTATCAATGTGTCTATGTATTTGTTTACTGTTATCTTGTCTAATTGTTTGACTATTAGCTCGAGTCTTTGTCTTGTCTGTTTCACTCTAACCCACACCTCTCCCTTCCTCTCACCCTGTTTCCTCCTTCCCCTCACTCCACTTCTTTTCTCTATCCTTCTCTCACCCCTCATCCCACATCCTCTCTCCATTCACCTCATTCCACACTCCACACTCCCCCTCTTCCCATCCCACTCCCCTCTCTCCCATCTTCTCTCCCCGCTCCTCTCTCCCCCTCTCCCCATCCCACTCCCCTCTCCCATCTTCTCACCCCGCTCCTCTTCTACCCACCGAACATAAACCTTCCTACCCTTCCACCGTATCTTCTCCCCTCTTCCCTCACCCCTCACCCCAACATAGGCTCCTCCCCCACGCACACAGTTTATCAGGGGTACAGCTTTATGTATGAGTCTCTCCTACATATGCATAATATGTAGTGGGAGACCTAACGTTGTTGCCTGCATTCTGGTCCTAAGAGTATACTCACAACATTTACTGGCTCGTGTTTGCAACTTCGTGTCGTGGTAAATTATGCAAGAATTTTAGTGTTTGCGTGTTTGTTGTTGTAAGTAAGGCAGGGTGCTGTGGTTGGCCGGAGACAGAAGTAATGTTGCTAACAGGGTAATGAGGTGAGGTTTTAGTAGTTAGTGAAAATGGTAGTTGTTGTGTAGTGTGTGTGTGTGTGTGTGTGTGTGTGTGTGTGTGTGTGTGTGTGTGTGTGTGTGTGTGCCCCCACATATATTATTGTGTATTTTCAGCTTATCTTAGTAAATCATGTTTCCACTTACTTGTTAACTTTTATCTTCCTCACGTGGGGAGTCCCAAAATATATAGACTTGTAAAGCTGTCTCACCAGCCCCCCCCCCTAGACCAGAGGTATTGCCCCAAGGGGAATGCATATTTTGTGAATAGATAAATTTAGTCAGGTTAATTTTAGTGGGAAGGTGAGAGGTGAGTTAGGAAAGCGGGAGAGAGAAGTTGTTTGATACGATAGAGATAAAAGAGAGGAAGAAAAAACGAACGAGAGAGAAGGAGGGAGAACGAACAAAAATTAAAGGATTAATTAACCAAATGGATCACAATAGAAGAAAGAAAAGGATAAAGAAGAAACAGATAATGTGGAGGGATTAATTTAGATAATGAAGTTTACCTCCTTGTTTATTCTTGAAGTCCATTTTATTCTTCCTGCTTCTCTTTGGGTAACGTTTGAAGCCTTATTACTTACAGTCCTTGAAGCTTTCAGTAAGTCTTTGAAGCCTCCTTTAGAAGTTCTTGAAGTACTTGAACTAATTCTCTCTCTCTCTCTCTCTCTCTCTCTCTCTCTCTCTCATTAGAAGCTCTATCACTGTTTTAAGGTTTATCGAAGCGTGTCTCTAGATAGTCCTCACTTAGGATTCAGTGAAGGTTTCCCCCCTGGCTTCACCTCACGACTCGGCTGTCCACAGTGCATTCCACACCTCTTCTGCTTGAAGTAATTGCTTTTCGCCCTTTCTCTTATTTTAGTATGTCTGCCACCGTGGATGCTAGGTCTCACACACACACACACACACACACACACACACACACACACACACACACACACACACACACACACACACACACACACACACACACACTCCAGTTCCCCTTCTCCCCACACGTCCACCCACGTCATTACTACCTCCACCCACATTCTCATCGCCTCCACCATCATTCCTATCACCTTTACCATCACCACCACCATCACCTTTACTATCACCTTCACCATCACCTTCACCATCACCATCCTCTTCAACAATCCCGCAAAAGAGGAGTCGCGTGACCAAAGGAATATTTTATTTTTAAAGTGACGCAACGATGATGATGAATGAGAGGTGAGGACCCCAGCCTTTGTGAGGGATAATGGGGGGAGAAGAGGGAGGGAGGGGGTTTGATGAGAAAGGTAGAGCAGCTCAAGTTAAGGAGGGGAAGAAAAGGGGAGAGGGATAAGTTGGAATAGTGTGTGTGTCAGGAAGCGAAGGATGGGGAGAAAGAAGAAAATAAGGGATAGCATCAATATAGTTCCTTGTTACGTATGAAGAAAAGTCATATAATAGATAAAGGGGGGAGGAGGGGAAGGTAGTGAGAGAAAGAGGGGAGGAAGGGAAGGTAGTGAGAGAAAGAGGGGAGGAAGGGAAGGTAGTGAGAGAAAGAGGGGAGGAGGGGAAGGGGAACCTAACCTAACCTAACCTAACCTAACCTAACCTAACCTAACTCAGCCTTGAAGAATAGAGTCCATTTCACCAGTGACCATCTGGACACTGAGAGGGGCACTATAGTGAGAAGAGCTATGGGAGTTCGGGGTCTTGTGGAAACGCCAATTTGCATCTGAATGTATGTGTGTTTAACGTCTGATTGTCTGTGTACTAACCAGGGAAGCCCACACATAATAACAAGTACCCTTATGCATTAACGCACACACACACACACACACACACACACACACACACACACACACATATGGATAAAGTACCCATAAGCATGAACAGGCAATTATAATATATTGATACATAAACAAACATACGAATATACAGATCAATAAAACATATATTAATGGTCGTTACAATATTCTTTTACAACGTTCTGTGTTGGCAGTTACCCGCATACTGCATTGGTGGTGATGGTGATGATGGTGGCTGTTTTGGTGGTGATGGTGATGATGGTGGCTGTTTTGGTGGTGGTGGTGATGATGGTGGCTCTTTTGGTGGTGGTGGTGTTGTATTAGTGGTGGTAGTGGAGGCTGTGATGGTGATAGTGATGATTGTAGTAGCGGTGGTGGTGATCGTGCTGATGATAATGATAATGCACTGTGTTAGTGTAGGTGATGATGGTTATAGTGGTGATAATTTTACTAGTAGTGATGATTGAATTATCGAAGGTTATACTTAGCTGACTTGTGTGATGACAATCGTTGCTAGTGGTAATGCTTCCTTCTGCCATCGTAGTCTAGTGGCTTATAAGGAGCTCCTCTCTCATCACAACCTGAGCGTGTGGTTGTATCTCCGGGTTGAACAGCTTTAAGCAGTCCTCACAGCGATAGTGTGTGTTGAAGAGGATACTGGGGGGAGGGAGGGAGGGAGGTGTTTGTGCGCGTAGGACGGGTGGGGGGAAGAGGAGGAAGAGGACAATCAGAAGGAAGACGAAGAATAGGTGAAAGGGGGATATAGAGAGAGAAAAGATAGATTGAGAGAAGGAAGAGGATGATAACAGGACATGGAGAACAGAGGCAACAGCTAGCGACAGAAGGTACTACCAACAATGCCGACAGTAACGTATGAAGGAAACAAGAAAGAATCGGTGATAGAAGAGTGAGGGGAAAGGAGAGGGGAGAGAAACAACTCGAAAGGGGATGAACAAACAGGGAAGAGTGAGTTAGAGAGGGAGGTGTCAGGGGAAACTGAGAATAATGGTGACGAAGAGAAGAATAAAGATAGGTACATAGCTCAAGTTAACGACTAATAGCCGGCGATGGGAAGAAAAGTTAGGTCGCAGAGAGTTGATGTGAGGTCAGGTCATCAGATACCGGAGTCAGGTCACAGGGGCTGAGAAGGGGAGATAAGATGAAGCTAGGTGTTTGGAGATGACGGGTGAGGGAATGTGGGTGAGGTGAAGGGGGGTGAGAGGAATGAGATGGGGTGGGGGTGAGGAGGGGTGAAGAGGAAGAGATGAGGGGAGAGGGAGGAGAGGGAATGGTCGTGTAAGGGGACAGAAGCAAAATTAAAAGGAGGATTGTGAGAGGGATTAGGAAGCGTGAGGGGGAATGAATTGGCAAGGAATGACGGGCGTAAAATGAGAAGGAGGAGGAAGGGCGCCCAGTAACCCGCCCTCCACCCCCCCTCCCACACACACACACACACACACACACACACACACACACACACACACACACACACACACACACACAAACTTTCTCCGCTAGTTTGTTTACATTTTTCATTCTCGGTGGGGGTATGACGTCAGCATGGCCGTGTCGTGCGTGGGGGTGTCCAGCCGTCTCTTTGATTACTCTTACCTGTAGTATTTATTTACAGCGATGACTAAGGAAGAAAGGGAAGGGAAGGGGTGATGATGAACGCCCACTGAGACTACCTGAAAGTATTATAAGTGCATAACCCAAAATACTCAAAGTAGCGCTAAAGTAAGATTCAAAATAATGCCATTTTACTTCATTTACATTTTTTTCTTCTAATGTTTGTTTTAAATTTGTGTTTTATTTATGGAGCCAAACAAAGGTAGGAGAATTGTTAAGTAATTCTCTGTATGGTGCGCTATTTATTTTTTTTTCTAGTGTGTACTTGTCTTAACACCTTAATGCTATAATGCTTTACTTATTTTATTGTTTTGTTTTGTTTTTAGTTATTGTCATGTAATAGAGCGTCCAGTCACTTTGAAATACTTATTAGTAAACATGAAAGATAATATTTTTGCCGTGATTTCTTTTGAGTTGTGATGATTAAGCAAGCAAAGGGGTGAAATACAGAGTACATGAATATATGCAGAGAGAGAGAGAGAGAGAGAGCATACACACACACACACACACACACACACACACACACACACACACACACACACACACACACACACACACACACACACACACACACACACACACACACACACACACACACACACACACACACACACACACACACACACACACACACACACACACACACACACACACACACACACACACACACACACACACACACACACACACACACACACACACACACACACACACACACACACACACACACACACACACACACACACACACACACACACACACACACACACACACACACACACACACACACACACACACACACACACAC